AAGCAAAATCTTAAACACCATCTCTAATTCAATCTCGATCTTAATTCAATCTGATTCAAATCTCAAAGCATCCTGACTAAAAAACAACAGGGTACCAATGTAGTTAGATTAGGGTATTTCAGTGCACAGTATGATTATTAGCACGTTCGCACTGATTCGCACAGCTTTTGTTTTAAAATATTTAACCAATGAAATTGCTAGATAGTGCAAACTTCGGTGCACAGTATGTTTTTTTAGTAAGGTCGCACCACTGGGCAAAGATTAATCCGTCTTCATTGCTTGCTTTGAACAGTTTTGAGCTTATTTATGCTTGGCATGGGGAATTTTTTCACTGGCTAAAAGGAATTTTGTGTTATGGAGTAGACTGGCTACATGTATAATGAGTATGTTAAACCTGATAATTTGGAAGACAAAGGTCGCTAGATTTTCAGAGTAACATTGGACACGGGATGTTTTCAAGTTTCGACATTCATTACCTCCTCCATGGATCAAGGGCCTACAAATGTCAATAAATGCCCTGGACTGGGGTGATACCTGCGATTTGGCTCTTATTCAGGACTTGAAATGATATTCAGGACATTGGCAGAGTGAAATTTTTATTTGGACAAAATTTTCAAAGTGAATCTTTTCAATGTGGATTCTCAGTTCTTTATCAGCTTTCAGATATTTCCGGGTAAAGTTTACTTGCTTGGGTATTCCCCTGAATTCGAAGGGGTTTCTTCGGAGTAAAATACATGTTTACACGCTGATTTGGTTTAGCTATTAAAAATACTAGTTATTAGTGCAGGTTTTTATGAATATTTGTGTACATTTGTTCTATTTTGTTAGTTATGAAAATTCATTGTAATGATATTTTTCATTTTTTGCGTGGCCTGGTTTGTCATCGTATACCATAAACAAATCGAGAGAGACGACTCAAATGTTTGCCTGATTATGAAAGGAAAACCGTGTCAATACGTTTAAAAATTTCAAGTTGTTTCTTGCTTTATGCTTGGCTAAGAAACAACACAAATGATTCTGTAGTATCCATTGAAAACTGTCGTGAACTCAATATTGCTTCGAACGCAACAACTACATGAACAGTCTACGAAGCAAGAAATAGACCTTCTTTAATTTTACCACGCCGAAATAATCACTAAAATCATTAAAACTCTACTCACTAACCACCACTAAGAAAAGAATTCCCTCTTCACGGGCACACAGCCTCTATTTATACTGCTACTTATTATTACGTAACTTTACAAAAATACCTACCGTGATTACATCATACTTGCGAGATTACCATCGAACGTTCCAGAAATTTCTACGCATACCATGACTTATAATTACAAAGCAATGTCAGCGGGGGATAAACAAAGGAAGTCTTAAACAAAACAACCTCATACGTAATGTTTCTAAAGATTAAGTAAGTTTTCATCACGTGTCTTCGTGGCACTCAGTGACTCCGTCACATTTCCCCCTCCTTTGGTAGACAAAAATGGTACATTTTTGACTGTCTTTTTAAAACGTGTTCAAATCCTTGATAATGTGTCCGCATTTGAGTTATCCTGTCCTCTCCGATACTCTACTCTGTAGTTATACATCGGTAATGCCAAACTCCATCTAGTTAGCCTGCTGTTCTTCTCTTTCATCTGGTCCAACCATTTTAATGCATCATGGTCTGTCTGAATTGAAAACTTCCGGCCATATAGATAAACTCGCAACTGCTGTATTGCCCATATGATAGCCAAACACTCTTTCTCTACAACAGCATAGCGTCTCTCTCGATCAAGTAACTTGCAGCTAAGATACATTACGGGGTGTTCTTCATTGTCATCTCCAATTTGACTAAGAACTGCTCCAAGTCCTCTATCTGATGCATCCGTCTGTAGTAAAAACTCTTTGCTGTAGTCAGGGTTTCTCAAGACTGGTGATGAACATAGAGCTTTTTTAAGTCTTCTGAACGCGTTTTCACAATCATCTGTCCATTGAATCGCACCTTTTACTTCCTTTTTAGTGAGGTCCGTTAATGGGGCTGCGATGTCTGCATAACTGGGTATGAATTTTCGGTAATATCCCGTTAAACCAAGAAATGAGCGCACTTGCTTTTTGCTTTCTGGTCTCAAAAAGTCTCTGACCGCTTTCACTTTGTCATCTTCTGGTCGAACTTTGCCATTTCCAACAATATGTCCCAGATAATGCGCCTCGTTCATTGCCAATGAGCATTTCTTTGCATTTGCTGTGAGCCCCGCTTTACTGATACGCGTCAATATCTCCTCCAAATGTTTTAAGTGGTCCTCCCAGGTAGCACTGAATACTATGACGTCATCTAAAAATGATGCTGCACATTTTTCCATCCCTTTAAGTATCTTGTCCATCATCCTCTGAAAAGTAGCAGGAGCTCCCATAGGCATAACTTGAAATTAAAATAAACCAAAAGGTGTTGTGTGTTGTGCTTTTTAAGGCTGGTCGGTGTATGGTAGCAAAATCCACAATGAAATAAACACGATATATATATATACTATTTACAAGTTATTATTATAATAAATTCCATTCTTGACAACGAACGATCTTGACAACTTTAAACACTTGAAAACTTCACTTCAAAACTACTCGATCACCAACTACTCTCCAACTTGAGCATGCCTCTCCCAACTCCAACTGAGCTAAACAATAGATCCATCAATCAATTACTTTAACACAACAATATGCAGCTAAGCGTGCTTTAAAACCAATATCGACTACGGACAGCATAATAATATTAAGAACAAAAGAGCAACGATATTTATTCTAAACTTATATTACAACACTCCTCCCCCCTTGAAAAGAGTGTCTTTATGCATAAAATGTTACGAAATCATTGTAACGAACGAAATTAGTTCTTCATTGTAACGTACAACATTCCTTCTTGGACGCAAGTTATAACGTGGTTCATCAAGCTCTTCCTCCCTGTCGCTTTTGGCAAAAATCTCATCAGAGGATTGAGAGTTGGTAACATCATCTGTAGGTACATGCAGAACAGTAGTGTTCATGACAGATTCCGGAGCTCTTTTCAATTTATCACGCATAACTGTTTTAATCAATGTACCTTTATTCGAAGGAATTTCAATGCTGTAGACTGGATGTGATGCTCTTATGATCTTAAATGGTCCATTCCATTTAGCAATCAGCTTAACTCTCGCAAGTCGTGGTAAATAAACATATACATAATCACCAACAGACAGTTTATCATCAATAACATTCTTATCATGATATGCAGCATAACGAGCTTGTCTTTGATTCATGTGTTCTCTTGCAGTATCGTACATTGAATTCAAATTATCTTTATATGATTGTAAGCTTAAATTTGACTCAGTGTTCTCAAAGGTACCATACAGAATATCGATAGGTACTCTGAAACGACGAACAATTTGTGATAAAATCTCTTTACGCTGATTGTACGGAAGACGTCGAGCTGGCTGTGAAACTGGTACATTTTCCTTGAGATGGATTTCATGATGAGCATGACTGACAACAGGCACCTTTGTAAGATTTTTTTGGTAATCTGTTAGAATGCGTACTACTGTAGATCTGTTTACTTCGTCTAAGTGTTGTAACTTAGGGCTGAGTTCATCTTCTGATAAAGTAGACTCATGCACAGCTACTGCATTTGGAGCACTGTTTCTGAATATTGTTTCTTGTGCTTGCTCAACTGAGTTGATAACTCCTAGGACTTCACCTTTTGATAACAACATATCTTCGCTACTGTCATTTAACACTGGTAAATCAACAACTTTTGAAGCGCTCTGCAGAAACACATCGCTAAGTTCCAGGCCATCACGACTCTCTTTAATTGGTTCAAATACACATGGAGCGTCCTTTAAAACATCCTTCTTTGAATTGATTATCTTTGATGGTACCATTTTGATAGATTCTGCAGGAATAATAGTTGCCTTGGCAACATGAACATATGCAGTATTCGTGTCCTTCTTCTCCTTCCAATATTTAATAACAACTTGATCTCCAGACGAGGGAACAAATGTTATTAAATTATTAAAATGATCTCTGACAGCTCCTTTAAAATTCAACTCGGTATCCATGCCCAAAACGTTAGAAGAAATAGCTGATGACACCAGTACCGGCTGGTATTCAAGTATGTATGACGTTCCATCTTCACGTAAAAATTTGATATTCAAGTACGCAACACCATCCAAACGGAAAGTTTCACCAGAAATTCCAATTCCGCTACGGTTTACGGGAACCAAAGGTGGCTTGATTTTCAATTCGTCGTATGCGCGACGAGTGATCATCGTATACATGCTTCCGGGATCATTTAAGATGTCCATATCAGATCCACCAATGTTCAGTTTCAACATTATTCGAGGGACTGGTTTTAACGCAACACCATTCTCAACATTAATTTGATTTTCCTCTGTCATTCGACCCGCCGATGAACTGACTCTGCCATTCTTGGGTGCATGGCTATTTTCACGTTTTTGTCTGCAATGTTTGGAAATATGTCCTTTCATACCACATTGGTAGCATGTTCTCAGCTTATAGCAGCGGGACCTGTCATGACCGTTTGCTCCACAGTTTGAGCATGCTTCCGCCTTTTTCAATCCTTCCGCACCTTTAGACATCTCATCCATGTGAAAACATAATTTCTCAACCATCTTTTCCAAACGATCAACGCGATCATTGCTAGAATAACTCGTCGCGGCCGTCTCAAAACTTGCTTTTGCCGTTGCAATATTATACGGATTATCTGCAACTTTCGAATTAATAAGCTCTAGTAAGCTCTCTAGTGTACATTTCCCCGTTAACTGCAAAATTTTGGCTGGCTCCTGAATCGAAGAGTCCAGCTGCGATAGTATGTGGTTTTGTGCTATCGAATCGATCACGTTACCGTCCGAAATTCCATACAGTTCTTGTACGA